TATAACATAGTATGTTATAAAATCAAAACAAAAATAGATTTTTTATTTTCAACATCATATCACTTGATAAGAATACAGAGTTTATTTTCAACAAAATGGCTATTTTGTAGTGATTTTATAACATACTTATGTTATAATTTTTTTAAAAATAATTATATCTGCTCTACTTTGTATTGAGCACTCTTTTAAGAATAGTAATTGTTGGTTATTGGAATTCATTCCAATTATATATATATATATATATATATATATATATATATATATATATATATATATATATATACAATGAGTTTGAACGAACTGTCATCAGGTATAAGGTAAAATTTAACAGCAGACATTGAATTCAACACCCAGCGGCAGCGACAGTCGGTTTCATGCATATACACAATCGTCAGGTCATGTGCTTTGTGATTTTGCTCAACAATTTATATATAGATTTCAGTGATGTATGGTGGGTAGTGTATTTTATTGCTCTAACGGTTATTTTGATGGCCGGTAACGGTTATGTTTCGAACTATTATAGTGGAAATAATTGTGGATCCGAATGCACAATGCATATGACCTAACAATTGCGTATAAGCATGAAACAGATTGTCGCCGCTGTGTATTGATTTCAATGTTCGCTTTTATATGTACATACGCTCTATCCCTGATATTGAGCACTTTAAACCATAAATATGCCATACGTTAAAACTATATTTTATCATATATATATATATATATATATATATATATATATATATATTATTTATTTAAAATATGATTCCAAATCGCGACATAAGAAGTCCCATGTTTCAAAAACCAGAGCCGAAAACTTCAATATAATTATTTAAATTATTTAAATTAAATTGAGTTAAAATAAGCTCTGTTCCATCTTCAAGCGAAATCTTTTTTGGAATAACGTGTTTCTGAAATTTACGTGTTTTAAAAATTGAAATCAAAATTTCCATGGTAACAGCTAGGGCGAATTGTTTAAGTTGGGTAGGCGGGTGTTGTGTGTTAATAATAAGTATCAGTATAGAGTTACTTTCGTAGATGTCAAGTCAGTGAAAGGTGGGGGTGTCTAAATTTGAAACGGAAGATGTATTAACCCTCGTCTAGTTTGCATGTCTATGGAGATTTATTTATTTTTTTATTTTATTTTTTTATGAAAGGGATTTGTGCATATAAAAAAAAAAACAAACAAAAACTGTCGTAACGTTTGTTTTTTGACGACTTCATAAAGGGTTATCTTTTTTTTTTTTTTTTTTTTTTATATATATATATGTATTCTGTTTATACGTTATTTTTTTTATAGATATCATTTATTTAAGTAAATGCTCTGCCTTTTTAATTAAACAGAATTAATTACACTTGTCGACCTGAATGTTCGAGAAATTTCCTGGACAATATGCGATCTTCGACAGGAATCGAAACTAATTCATTATGGAAACCGTCATTTGATCTGACGTACTGCTACAACGATGCGTTTGGTTACGAAAGTCCGAATTACTGTTTGTAAACACAAACCTTTTTCAAACGATTTTTCTGGATCGATCATTTTTGCTCACGAAATTTCTCGAACAAACACACACACATATATATATATATAACTGCAATATCACGAAATTTGTATTAATTATCAACATAAATTCTGAAAATATATTCTTTGCATCTAAATAATTAATTATTACATCAATGATATATAGCTATATAAGCGCTGCTTTGTGGAGTCGACTCCCGAGAGGATGCTTCCCCAGTCACTACAATCTTAACCTGTTCAAGTCTAGGGTTAACCGTTATCTTCTCCACCTATCCGCATAAACTGTGCCTCTTACTCTGTAACCTTCTCCCTGTTTTGTGGAACAGACTCCCAAGAGGATGTTTTCCCGATCACTACACTCTTAACCTGTTCATGTCTAGGGTTAACCGTTATCTTCTCCACATAACCGCATAAAATGTGCCTCTTATTTTGTAACCCTCTCTTTGCTTTGTGGAACAGACTCCCAAGGGGATGCTTCCCCGATCACTGCAATCTTAACCTGTTCAAATCTTGAGTCAAACGTTATCTTCCACACATATCCACATAAACTGTGCCTCTTACTCTGTAACCCTCTATCCTGAGTAGCTCTTAGGCCTTTCACAGGGTGAGCATTATTGTAAAAATATATATATATATATATATATATATATATATATATATATATATATATATATATATATATATATATGTGTGTGTGTGTGTGTGCATATACATTTTATTTGAAATTTAGACGTCTAACATTTTTTATTATGATAGTGGATATTGTGCATGAGTCCGGTCTTAGTTTGACCGTAGAGAATTGTAAGATCAGTGCCCTTTCTATGTATTTTCGACTTAATAAATTCTTATCTTTTTAAATCTGGCATGTTTAGATCGAAATCGTGGTCGCCATCGAAATTTATTTGCAATTTATTTTGTATATACTCGCATCTGTTTTATTACTGATGCTATTTCGTATAGAACACTTATTGGCTGCTGCTAACTTTTTGGTACTCATCGTGTGCTGGTATATATATATATATATATATATATATATATATGTGTGTGTGTGTGTGTGTGTGTGTATATATATATATATATATATATATATATATATATATATATAGATAACTAGACCTGTTTCGAAAAACCCTCGAAGTTTTGATTTGCTAATCAAATCAATCTCGAGGTAAAAAAAGGTTTAAAAAAAAAGAAAGAGCTACAAACATGAACTTCTGCCGACAAAAAAATCGCACAGATGCAGGTCTGGAGCCCAAAGAAAAAACCCCCGATACGAGTAACAACTAACTAACAAAAGAGCTCAATACAACCGTAGAGCAGACCAAACTTTCCCTGACGATCCGTTTAGGTGAAACCTAGGTAGGTTTTGTCTGGCTCACTAGGTGTATCTATATATATATATATATATATATATATATATATATATATATATATATATATATATACCAGGCGTAACAGCAAAATTGTTCAATTTTAGATTAATGTTTGAAATGATTAAAGATATCTTACTGGAATTCCTGATGTTTATAATAACACTATTGAACTCTATTTTGAGCAATATAAAAAGCTTAACAGAAGAATCGTGATGAAATCGATCATAAACGAAAATGACATGTTCATCATTAATTGATCAAAGCTAAGGATCAGAAGCTCACGAATGATTCAAATAAAGTTCATATATATATATATATATATATATATATATATATATATATATATATGTGTGTGTGTGTGTGTGTGTGTGTTTTTCCTGGATCATTTTCCAACTTATTATTTAACCCTCTCTAACCTTCTAACTTTCTGTCCTGGTGTAATAAACTGACTCAGATGTTTGACGAACGATTTCATTTTCAAGCTTTCTTTTTCACAGCTCTTTAGACTGTCATAGGTGAAAATCCTCCCTCACGCGCCAAACGGCTTATGAATTGAGTTGGATCATTTCTAATTACACCCACCTGACGTTTACATAATGAAATTTAAACCGTACAGTAGATAACCTTAGCTTTTTTCACTTTACATTTAAAAAAAAAAACTTAACTTTCAAATGAACACAACAATTTTGTCTTAGAAAAAAAAAAAATGATGATGACATTGTGCTAATGTCGAAAGTACTTGAAATAAATGAATATGCATCAACATGGTAATTGTTGTGGTACGATCCACCTAATTTACATAGTGGAGTACCGACCATATAAATATGGTTGGTACCGGGAAGACGGGGAAGGAAGAAGAGATCCAATCCAGATACTCTGCCCGACTGCGACTAAGTCAACCCATTCTACAGGAACGGTCTTCCCAAGAATATACCAAACTATCTGTAAATATTGTGTACACGTTCTTGTGTCAATACATTTTGTTTAAGTAGATTTTGTGTTGTATTATTATTATTCCATACTAAATTCAAGTTTCAACAGTAATTTTCTCTCTCCCTTTAGTAAAGATACTAAAACGCTTGTCCGTGAATATGAGAGGATCCTATTGAGAATAAGTAGACAAAACTTGTCTAAATTATTCAATGGGACATGTTTTTATATATATATATTAATAAATATACATATACCTACGTTGGAAGTTTTGTTGTTCTACCAACTCATCAGGCACGAATTATTACTTTTGATTAATATATATATATATATATATATATATATATATATATGTATTTTTAAAATGAAAAGTTATAATTCGTGCCTGATGAGTTAATTAATTATTAGAAATCCTAAAGGGATAAATTTGAAAATTGAGTAAGAATTCCTTTGATCTATGTCTCGGCTTACGTCTCGTGGTAGCCGACCGCCGCTGTATAGGGAATATAAGCTTTCAATATTAGTGGAGTTTATATATATATATATATATATATATATATATATATATATATATATATATATATATGTGTGTGTGTGTTTCAGGGATGTATTGAAAACACTTTTTAATAAAAGAAAACTAACCCTTTTAAATAAAAAAAAAACTAGTTCTGTATCCGTCATTTCGCTGACAGCAACATGATCAAATTTCAAATCTAAATTGTTTGTCTATTTAAAATCCTACATCTATTAGAGAATATATTCAGTTTAAATACAGAAGTCATTTATTTGAACCGGCATTTATGATCTTGGTTTGGTACATGTCACTTCGCTGTGGGCAAGATGATCAAATTTCAAATCTAAATTGTTTGTCTATTTAAAATCCTACATTTATTAGAAAATATATTCAGTTTAAATATAAAAATCATAAAAGAAAACTCCAAAGTAATTTATTTGAACCAAAAACTCTTGTCTTGTTACTCAGGGGTGGCTGACCCGCAAAAGACACTTTAAATTTCATTTTAAAATGTGGGTGTGTGTGTACTGAAAAACGTTTCTACAAAATTAAAATAAAAACTTATTTTATTTATAACCGAATAATTTTCGAAAAGTTCAATAAAAAAAAAACAAACTTGTATTCAATTTTATTTTATTGCCCAGAGTAGAGGTTTTTCCAGACTGCGTGGAAGGAGAATGTTTTATTCCAATCTCTTATTATCTATCTATCTATCTATCTATCTATCTATCTATCTATAAATAAAGTACAACTTAAAGTTTCGTTGGTCTACCAACTCATCAGGCACAAATTATTACTTTTGATTAAAAACATATATATATGGTCATGATGAGCAACCATATTCAACGAAATATAAAATATATTTACAATACAATCAGTTTAAATGACTCACAAGAGGTTGAAGGTTCGTTAAACTCAATCAGTCACGCATGGTGGTAATAATAAAAGATATTATTTTTGAATGAAGCTTTAAATTGTTGGAGATTGTAGATGGCAGGGAAGCAAGGAATTGGAAGATGCTAGAATTGGGAGAAAAGAAACTATGAGAATAGATCTGCTGAACCAATGACGATTTAATTTTGATGAGTTTTACTCTTTGAATACCTAGCATTAGGTGAGAGGTGCAAGAAAATAAACTGTTAGAATAGGTTAAGTTAGTTGCATCTATCCAGTTCTGCGATTGGTTCATTTCTGGCTGGGTACCCAGGCCATTGGCGTTGTTCTGGGTTCAAACTGACGATCTGCCCCTCTCGATGGTCATATATATCTTAGATTCCTTCCATATTTATTTACAGCTGGCGTTTCGACAATGTACGGCATCAGCCGATGCACCACTCAACGAAACCTCCATGCTAGCGTACTTAACTGGCAGATGTATGGAGGGCACCAGTATCATTTAAGTCCTTAGGAGCCTAATGGGTCTTAACCCGGCCTTGTCTCTACCCCCCATTAAATATAAGGATTTTGAAACTGAAATTTTAAAAAAAATACAGAACCTTCAGACTAATGTACTACCTATTATAACTGGATAATTGGATGTTTTTTCCTGGTAGGGTACCCTGGACATTAGTTTTGTTCTGGGTTCGAACTGATGATCTGCCTCATTCGATGTTTGTATGCACTTTCGATTCCTATAATATTTATTTACAGCTGGAGTTTCGACAATGTACGACATCGGCCGATGCACTACTCAACGAAACCCCTATGCTAGCGTACTTAATTTGCAAGTGTATGGAGGACACCAGTATCATTTAAGTCCTTAGGAGCCTAATGGGTCTTAACCCGGCCTTGTCTCTATCCACCATTAAATATAAAGATTTTGAAACTGAAATTAAAAAAAAAAATACAGCACCTTCAGAGTAATATACTACCTATTATAACTGGATAATTAGCTGCGATAATAAAAGGCACAGACAAACCATGTAGTTCTTTACTTCAAACCAACTCATGGTGCAACTGAAGGCCAGAATTGGAGACCTTTGGGTTTGCTGTAGATCACTGTTTTAGTCGGTTTAAGCCATTCAAATAAGAAAGTAAACATTAAGAGCATAATTAATTTGGCGATATAATTTGGCATAGCTTCGACTCCTTCACCTTATACTCGGTAAACAAGAGGGTATTTTCCAGTGCGCCCACTTTGCTAACGAATGTGACACAAGGTCAGTTTATAGTGGGTTTAAGCGTAATACCCTGGAAAAATTGCTCAAGCCTCCTTAGCACTTCCCCTTTTAGGGACGCCAACCACCTCCCGAAAGAGAGGTACTGCCTGCGGAGAAGCCCTTCACCCCACCCTCGGGGGCTTGCGCTTAATATTTTAAAAAATTTCCCAGGAGAGGAATTTACTTACACCGGTTAAGGATATAAGAAATGTTATATGCATTTTAATCGTTGAATTAATTATTCAGCTTAAAACAGTTGTCATGAAACAAAAAAAAAAAAAAAAAAAAATATAATGAAACAAAAATCATCATGAAATAAAAAATAACATATAATGAAACAAAAGAATCATGAAGCAAAAAACATATCATGAAACAAAAAAGTAACATATAATGAAACAAAAAACATATCATGAAAGAAAAAACGTATTATGAAACAAAAAATAACATATAATGAAACAAAAATATGTCATGAAACAAAAAACATATCATGAAACAAAAAATAACAATAAAACAAAAACATATCATGAAACAAAAAATATCGGAATCTGTGAATTCATGAACAAAAAACATGGCTTGAAACTAAATGAATGTAAGTTATTGTTTCGAAATTAAGTAACTCGTGACATGCTAACTTATTTTGTCATAAATATACTTTATTATGATTAGAGAAGTACCTAGAAAAAGGAATTGGATTAACAGGAGGGTGTTAAGACACAAGGGGCAAATGAGGGGAGAAGAATCAGAAAACAGATACATTAGTAAGGAGAGAGATCATTTGAAGAGTAATCAGGAAAACAGCAGATAACGATTGACATTTTTAACATCAAAGTTGGCTGGAAAGCAAGAAGCCAGAAAAGAGTTCCACAAGCGGGAAGTGCGAGAGAAGAAATCAGCGGCGGATTACCACAGTAACCCTGAGTTTTCGCTTACCTGGCGATTGGCTCGGAATCGGCTACCTCTCTATGACAAGCTCTTCATATGGGGCTTGGCGGATTTGCCAGACTGTGAACGGTGTGGCCTTGGTCTGGAAGAAACGGCTTCGCACGCCTTCTACCATTGTCCCCGCGTCCGCCCCTTATGGGACCATGTCGGCGAGGTGACGGCTCGGCTCGTTCCCGAAAAACTTGTGCTCATTGATCGCGCATACGCGGGTGACAATGTATCGCCCCCGTATTCTGGGGTGAAACGGATGGTGTTTCTTACGCTGCTGGCCACGGCCCGAATGGTGATTTGGACGACGCGGCAGGAGGAAGTCTTGCCAGGCAATCGTCTTTCATCTGATCCGATTCTTTGAGCATCTGCTCAAGATGAAGATTAGAACTGATAGAAAACGCTTGCATTCGATAGTCTTCAGCGAAAGGTGGGTGAAAGATACGAGCTTGGTTCGTTTGAAGGGGCTAGCCTTGATTTTCTCTTTTAGGTCAACCTACGTCGCATCGGGGTGGTTTTCTGTGGAGCCCTCCCCTTGGTTAGGTTAGACAAGCCTTAGTGTACCTAGTTAGTGAGTAAGTGTTGTTCCTGGCCTGTTCCCGGCTGCCTCTTTGGTTATGATTCAAGTCGAGATCCCCCTTCCCAGTTTGTTTTGGCCCGCCCTTTTTCATCTCGACTGGGTCAGCTTTATATTTTCCCATGCCCGTATTATCTTTTTTATCCTTTTCCCACGCCCGTAGTGAGAGAGCTTCTTGATTCTGTCCAATGGGCAGATTACAGCGGCCTCTCCTTTTTGAGGGTTGGACGGGCCCTACTAACATCAGTTATGTTTAATTTGATTTGTGTTAATATTTCAGTTTGTTACTGGGTTCATCTCCTTCCCCTCTCATTTTTTTTTCATCACAGATTTTACATATATTTTACTATCATTAAATTTTTATGGCATGGGGCGCGTTTTGTAGGTCCCCCTAGAGAGGATGTAGTGTTATGGTGCATGGAGGATTGATTGGTGATGGACGAGATTTTATGGTGAATGGGTAAATTGTAATGAGTAAATGGGTCGTGAATCGGATTAGCTAGGTATAGGATAGATAGTGTGGACCAGCCTTAACCCCTCCCCTTTTTCGGCCTTGTGCCACAATTATGTATTTTTTACATAATAAATATCTAGAAGAAATGTTAGCATAGAACTTAGTAATATTTAACCATTTCAACTACAAATTGGTGAGACCTTGTTACTAATCTATTACTGTTGTTAAAATCATAAAGTCTTGGTACCAAAGTAAAGAGCTCATCTGAACAATTACCATGAATGTATACGTTTGCTCCCATTTAATGTTTTTAATGGTAATTTAATGGCAATTAATGGTAATTTAATGATAATTAATTAATTTAATGGAAATTAATTTAATGGCAATTAATTAACAAAGTTCTTAATTTTTTCAAAAACACTTAAATTTGCTCCTATTTTATGTTTTAAATGGTAAATTAAAATAAAATTCAAAATACCTTTTACTAAAAATATATTTTAGAAGTAAAAACACAAATTACTCATAAAAAAATTGAATTTTATCATCTATGACTATTTATCTCTGTTGTAATAAAGATTACTTAGAGAAAAATATCTCTATTATAATTCTGCTTGCACTTGCCTTTGTTAGTTCGCACGACCGTTACGCCCTGCCAATACCTCATAAATAATGGACTATTCCGTTTTACGTATCAGAGTCGTTACTTGACTTCAGTGAGAAAATGGCATCGCTGTTTTTGTCTATTTTAGGCCTTTTTATATGACGATGTAATAGAATATAGACAAAAACAGAGATGCCATTTTTCCATTCCTCCGAAATAGTCGTTAAACACAGCTATTTTACCTTCTTCGTTGCTTGCTTTCTTTCATCCATTTTCTCACTGAATTTTTAGGCCTTTTTATTTGATGATGGAGAAGGCACGATAGAGTAATGGAGAGCGGCTCGGATTGAGGAATCGGAGAGCCGAGTTCGAATTCCATTGACTTACCCTTGGGAAAGGTGTGAATCTTCTTCTCCCCTCAGCTATGGCTAAATAGCAGGACAGACCGGGTTCTGTAGACTTGGATGGCAACTGGTCTACCGCAGAAAGAAATGACAACCTACTGTGGGAAAAAATGTGCCTCGTCAGTCATGTATCGAAAGATACATGATCGCCTAAACGTATACCACGGATAGCACATAACTGACCCTTGAGAGCCGAGTTCGAATTCCATTCACTTACCCTTGGGGGCGGTATGAATCCTCATCTTCTCCCCCTAACTCGGGTAAATAGCAGGACAGATCGGCTTCTATCGCCTTGTATGGCAACTGGTCTACCTCAGAAGGAAATGGCAACCTAACGCGGGGGTAAAACTCTGCCTCAGTGAACGCATAACACATAATTGACTGACTGGTATGATGATGAATTTGTTTTACAACTGTCGCTGGTCCCGGAAGGTGAAGTTTCTTCTTCCGGTATTTTTTCTTTAATGTTGGAGTGTCGACAGGGTACGACAATTATGTGCTTAGTTTCGTTTCGACGCTAACCATTTCAGTTGTTGCTGCAAGTGACCCGGCTTCTTTTATTTGATGAAGTTCATTGCTTGTGATACTGTAGCGCCAATGCCCAAGGTTCACTGAAGGACAGCCCTTTCTAAGACATTCAGGGTTCTTTAGCCGGAAGTCATTTTCAGTCATTGATCTCAGAAAGCGGTTGTATACAAATGACAGTTTAGACATTTCTGAACGGGTTTGGCACCACGCATGCCATCCGTATGAGAGTCTAAATCTGACCAGGCAATTTAGGAACATGACTCGAGTTTTTAGGTTAATGTTTCTGGCTTTGAAACCATCACTAGCGCAGTTTCCTTATTTCCTTATTTCCTTATTTCCTAAACTAAAATTGTTATAACTGAACTAAATAATAATAATAATAATAATAATAATAATGATAAAGAATATATCAAAGAAGAGAAAATAGATAGTTATGGGGAAGACATGAAAAGAGTGAAGAAAATAACGAAAAAAAAAACCCAACTCAATTCCAATAAAGAACGAGTTTGCAAGCAAGTGTAAAAATAAAACTACGAAGAAAACAAGAGAGAAAAGATTATTTATGTAAAAATAAAATAGGGACAGTTGCGAAGCAAGCGGCAAAAGTAAGGAAGAAGAAATTAATAATTAGTCGATAACAAGAAAGAAGTATAAGAAAAATGGCGACGAAGAGAAAATAACGACAATGAATAATAAAACAATGAAACACATAGACGCACACACACAGGCAGACACAGAGACACACACCCACATATACACACACGCACGCACATACATACACGTACGCACAGAGACACACACGCAAACACATACATACAAACACAGAAACAGACACGAAAAAGTAACAAAACGAAACTCAATAGAAGGAAACGAGAAGATGGCGTCTGTTTGGCGCGAATGCGATGTTGTCAATGGTGACCATTGATGACAATGGCGCCGACTTGTCATATATGCAAATCAAGAAAGGATGGTGTGGTCTCGATTTGTGTGTACATACACAGAGCTTTCATGATTATTTCTCACATACACAAACGCATATATATATATATATATATATATATATATATATATATATATATATATATATATATAAAACACACACACACACACACACACACACACATATATATATATATATATATATATATATATATATATATATATATATATATATATGTATTTTATTCATTGCTGTGAAAAAATGATTTTTTATTTTAAGCTGGTTTACAATGGTTTTGTATATATGAAGTGATGCTGAAAAGTTCTCGGTCTGATACATTTCCCCAAATCTAATTAAATGATCAAACAGTTCTTTGAGCGGAGGCGAGGAAGGGGGCCTCTTTGTTAGGCTGAGAACTTTTCCTTTTCATACCTCCATTTAGATAATTTCGAAACCCTCTGTATATATATATATATATATATATATATATATATATATATATATTTTGTTTATTTTAATATATTCGCTAATTATACGTTATTTTTTATAGATACAGTTATTTAAGTAAATGCTCTGTATTTAATAAACAGTATTCATTATATTTACCGGCCTTAATGTCAGAAATAATTTTGAAGAAAATTTGTGTCCTCCGACAGGAATCGAACCTGTATCCTAGACCAAACCGTCGGCCATGGGGTCAGATTGTTCTTGCTCCACAGTCCATGTCTAGGGATATCTCATCTTGTTCTTATTTAATACTGCTCAATTATTTCTCGCTCCTTCCATGTACAGTTTAGGCGCTGGCGTTATTCTCTCTCTCTCTCTCTCTCTCTCTCTCTCTCTCTCTCTCTCTCTCTCTCTCTCTCTATATATATATATATATATATAGGCCCGTTCATATCTCTATATCTACCATCTATTTATCTCGGCCCGTTGATATCTATCTATCTATCTATCTATCTATCTATCTATCTATCTTTTTCTGTTGCTTCCTCTCTCTCTCTCTCTCTCTCTCTCTCTCTCTATATATATATATATATATATATATATATATATATAGGACCGTTTATATCTATCTATCTATCTAGGCTTGCCCATATGTATCTGTCTCTCTCTCTCCTATCTATCTTTATATATATATATATATAGATATATATATGGGCCCGTTCATATCTATCTATCTATCTATCTATCTATCTATCTATCTATCTATCTATGCCTATCCATATCTATCTATCTATCTATCTATCTATCTATCTATCTATCTATCTATCTATGCTGGATAGATGGAGCTCCTCAAATCGGGATGGACAGTTCATCTAGGGTAGGGCAATCTGATTTTAAACTTCTTTTGCCTTGATATCATATCCAAACAGAGAAAATGGAATTGAAATAAATCCAGATAAAAAGATCCCGGAAAACTCGAGTGGAACCTTTCAGGGGGTTGGCTGTCAACACACACTGACAACCATCCTGAATCTTGTACAATGAAGCAGGCCTCAACTCAAGCGCACAAAACTCCATAAAGAATCGCCCAGACCCGCGCCCTCGTCGGACCATCCCAGTTTCACCACTAAAGACCAGAATTTCCACCAAACAGGGTCATTTACCTTGCGAGATAAACAGATTCCTACTATACGTATATTGGCGCGGGGAAAATAGAAATATCTGGGTTGGTTTACAGGCGTGGGAGTATTGGATCGCCGTAGTATTCGTTAAGGTATCCAATTAGATGGAAAAATTTGATATACCACCTGCGGCTTCACAGCATCCAATGATGTTGACTGGTTCTTCTTTTTTTTGGGGTGGGGGTACATGTGTTACAGTTTTTTGTGTATACGTATATAGATATATAACTAGTGAGTTAATCAAAATGCTTTGACTCACTTTATAGTCCACCAATAGAAGGTTAACCAATCAGAAGACGTAGAACATTCAATCCGTCGTGTATAAAGGCGGCCATTTTTGTTCACTCTACCCGAATGTCCAGTGCCAGCTTGTCAGGCGAAGAGAAACAGAAGGACGAACTATGCTCTGTTACTTTTACCAAAATATCCACTGCTAACCTGAACAACGCTTTCCTACTGTTTTCGAAATATTCACTGCTAACCTCTGGATTCTATACTCGAAGACGACCGTCACGATGAATAACAACATGCTGTTCTTGCACTGAGAGTAGCATTGGAATTACTTATGTGGCATCCTTCTGGAGGTGTCTTCTAGCGAAAGTTGACTTTCCCAGACATCATGGCCCGCCCGAGTTGGACATTGGGATCTAGGGACGGCAATACAGGACCGAGCAGCGCGGAAAGGGGGATTGTTAATGGTGTTCCGACCAACCACAAGGAGGTCAAAGGATGATGATGATGATGATGAAGAGGAGGAGGAGGAGGAGGATGACTGTAAGCAATGAAATCTTACCAGATGCTTTAAAAGTTTTCTCGGCTTGAAAAGCCACATCTGTTCAAAGTTCAACTCTTAAATACCTTTTTACTGGTAATATTAACCTTTTGAGCCCAGCGTTCCTGAAGAATTTTAACCTTTCTGCCTGAGCTCCTGAGCCAAACTTCGCAAATAATTGGTATGTAATATTTCACGGAAGATATAAAAATAGTTACAAGTGTTTACCCACCGTACAACCGGTGGGTGGCCATTAAGACATTTTTCTCTATCACTGTTCAACCGGTGGCTGGGTGTTACGTTATTTTTCTCTCACACTGATAAAGCGGTGGTCACGGCTCAAAAGGTTAAGACATGTCGCATTGAATGATTTAGACAAGTTTTTGTCTACTTATTTTCAATAGGATCCTTTCATATTCACGGACAAGCTTCTTAGGGAGAGAGAAAATTACCATATTGATACATATTCATTTATTCCGAGTAGTTTCGACATTAGTTACCTCCCCTGACGTTTACATTGTAAAATTTAAATCGTACAGTACATAACCTTAGCGCTTTTCACGTCTAAAAAAAATAACTTTCAGATGAACACATCAATTTTGTCTTAGATAAATGATGAGCGCACACACACACACACACACACCCACAGACACACACACACACACACATATATATATATATATATATATATATATATATATATATATATATACTGAAAAAACAAACAAAAATCCTAATATGCGATTATGTTGTCTTAATGTTTAATGTCAACGTCGGACGTTTCGGTCTAATAGACCATCTTCAGGACATATTCATAAAACATAATTAACAGCGACCATATATAATTCAACATGAAAAAGACGATGCACATAAAAGCAATACCAATCCAAATAGATAACTGAAATCTTTTATAAGATCAGCGTTCCGTTTAAATATGATCACGTCGTCGTCACGTGGGCGATGTTGTGAAAACGTATTCCTACAATTTGAGTATTTTTCAGTATATTTTTCTTCATACTGTCGGATCTATATCCATATATTTGCTTATATATATATATATATATATATATATATATATATAATACAATTTAATAAAACTTACATATATATATATTTATATATATACGCCGTAGTAAACAAAAAGTAAAATATTTGTTATGATCGTATGTTTCGCTACATCTCCCCATCCCACCCAACTACTTTCGGTTTCGAATGAAAGTACTTAAGTTGTTGAGATCCATTTCATTGAATCGCTGGACAAACGACCTGAAGAGACCTTAGTGGTCGAAACCGCGGTAGTTTTCTGGTTAGCATTCATATGTTTTTTAATACATACATATATATATATATATATATATATATATATATATATATATATTTATATATTTAATATACATACATACACACACACACACACACATATATATATATATATATATATATATATATATATATATATATATATATATATATATATATATATATATATATATATATATATGGTGGCCTCACATTTGCGTCTAGCATGAAACAGACTGTCGCCTCTAAGTGTTGACTTCTATGTTCACTTATATATATATATATATATTAGGACACTATTAGGAACATACTAGTAGAAAACACAAATATATTAACTGCATCCACTTGCAAAAAAAGACTAAAAATAATGGAAGCTCTAAAAAGAAAAAGCCAACTCTTAACAATATTAACTATGAACAAAGGCACAATGTGCTAACCGTATTCGGAAACTAAAAGCATCCCTACCACACACTGAACATACACAGAACACACACACTCTACTAAGCTGATAATCGAATCATCCTTGATAATGGCTAAAGGTATAGCCGAAAGCGCTCGGAAATATAGAACATTCGGACAGTTCTTACACACCCTTTGTCCAGAAAAGAAAGCTCTTGTCAGAACACAAGAAAAATTAAATAAAAAGCTCAACCGTAGTACCTTGTCTGTCGTTTTAATGAAACATATATATATATATATATATATATATATATATATATATATATATATATATATATATTATTTTTAGTATAATCCGTTCATATTTACGGATATTTTCCTTAATTACAAGCAAATGATACAAGAAATTCACTGTAACAGTGAAAATCATTTTTTATTTCCCAAGTGATTTTCACTGTTACAGTGCATTTCTAGCATCATTTGCTTGTAATACACGGAAAAATACCCGTAAATATGAATAGATTATGTTAAAAATAAGCAGACATAATGTCTGTAATTTATTTAATCAGATATGCCTAAAAGATAATTTGCTGCTTAAATACACAAATGTATATATATATAAAACACGAGAATGTATCTTGAAGTGTATATGATATAATTAACGTGCGCACATAATTTAACAGTATTATAATAATAAAGAAACAGAATAAAAATAAAAATTTAAATTGAATTAATGAATAAATAAATGAACAAATGAGTCGCATTCATCTTATGAGGCCTCGTTTTCAATAGCCGTTACACATGACGTCACGTTAGACCATTTCAAGCATTCAGCTTCCCGTTGAATACCAGGATGAAGAAAAAGGAATTCTAACTGCCACACACAGACACCACATCGGTCCTTCATAATGACTGCGAGAGTCGAAAGTACTTGGAGCAAAATAACAAAATATGAACTTCGGACAGTTTATCCACAGCTTCGAGCACGATACTGAACACTTTATTCAAAAATTAGAAAAATACAATAAAATAATTAGACCGACAGACCATATCTGTTCTTTTTAATCAAATTTGTTTGGATGAATACATCCTGCCTAGTGTGAGTTTTTAAACTGTGACTGAATATTACGGCTAATAATACAAGACTCTTCGGTAAATCGAATCGAGTTCTCTCAGTCATTGTGTTTATCTAAAAATATATACATGTAGCCACACTGATGAGCTGTGATGCAGCGAACCAGTCTGTCTGTGGATGACTATCTATCTATCTATCTATATATAGTCATCCATCAGACATCTATATATATATATATATATATATATATATATATATATATATATATATATAAGATAAAATTAATTATGGATACAGCACAAATGTTTTTAAAATACGTACAATAGATAGTTTAATATATCAAGATTTGCAATAATAGTTTCAATAGTTATTGCTTAAAAACCATCGACACACCATACGGAGTTACTTTCCCTGAAGTGGTGTCAAGCGATCAAGTACTTACTCAGGGTTCTTCACTTTACAGGCAAAAAAAATTAACTTTCATATGAACACAGCAATTTTGGTGAATACTAGAATATTTCTCTTGAAATAAACAACACCTTGATGATGACATTGTGTTATGTCGAAAGTACTCGGAATAAAATAATATGCCTCAACACGTCGATTTTCTCTCTTCCTTTAATAATGACATCAAAAAGCTTGTCCGTGAATATGAAAGAATCAAATTGAAATTAAGTAGACAAATCTTATCTAAATTATTCAATGAAACATGTCTCAATATATATATATAAAGAATTAATACATTTTTAATCCAATACTTTTATTAATTAAAACGTTTTTACAGTGAATACTATTATAACGTTTGAAGTGATACACACACACACACACACACACACACACACACACATACATACATATATATATATATATATATATAGAATAAATCGGTTTTATGCATTGATCCAACATATTTTTTTTCTTAAACGCTATTTTTAGTGGATAACAATTTTTTTTATTGCTTTGTTTATTTTAAACAGGATTTTGTTTCATCTACCGGCCTGAATATTCGGGAAATCTTATTAGAGAAAATGCGACCACCGGTAGGATTTGAACCTGCGCCCCGCTTTACAGGACAAACCTATGTGTGATTTCTCTGATATAGGTTGGAAAAGTTCCATGTTTTCATCTGCAAATGAAGAAAATACGAACTTTAACCACAATGGTCGCAATATTTAGAAACAAATTTCGCCATTAGTTTTAAATTTATACAGTGTAACCCGGATATAAGAGAAACCCGGATATAAGAGAAACCCGGATATAAGAGAGGTTTTCTCTGGTCCCAAATTAGAGTCTGTGTTAATGTATATAAAATAGACCAAACCCGGATATAAGAGAAACCCGGATATAAGAGACTTCTTCTCCGGTCCCGACAACTCTGTTATATCCGGGTTAAACTGTACCAGGAAAATATGAGTTTAGAGCTGAACTTCCCGGCTTTATGAATTATACCTTAAACACAAGGTTGTTTGAAAAATAATGTCCCATTTTAGAATAAAATTTTATTCCTGAATTACTGTATTTAAACAGTATTTAAATCAGTCAAAAAAAAAAAATCCTGCAGTTTTATGCATTTCTTCAATCGTGTTACAAGGTCATTTATATCTTTACGATAAAACTCGAAAGGTTTGGACGCTAAGAAATCTTTGAATGCAGTTTCTAAATCTTCTTTGCAACGTGTTCATGTGGACTCCATTTATCGATTTTTTTTTTTACCTTGCCAAATTTTCTTGAGATGATCCAATATTATTGAAAGGCCACTACATACATTTCTCTGATTCATAAACGTGAGTTTTGATCGACTAGTGTTTCTCAGATGCAGATAGTCAATCGCATATGGACATTTTCTACCATCTTGAATTTTAAGTCTCGTATCCCCACTGTGGAATTTCAGAAATCAGTGCATTATTGTCCGATCACAAGTGGATCCATCACCCTATGCTCTGTTAATGCTGGCAGCAGTCTGAGAAGAATTATGAGCAATCTTGAACTCATACAAAAAAAGTAAATGCATCTCTTCGTTCAAGATGAGAGTTATATAATGTTTTAAGTTCCCTAAAATGAGAGCTATATAATGTTTTAAGTTCCTTAAAATGAGAGCAATATAATGTTTTAAGTTCCTTAAAATGAGAGCAATATAATGTTTTAAGTACCTAAAGATGAGAGCTATATAATGTTTTAAGTACCTAAAGATGATAGCTATATAATGTTTTAAGTTACCATACATAAGAGCTATATAATGTTTTAAGTTCTTAAAGATGATAGCTACATAATATTTTAAGTTTCTAGACATGAGAGATATATAATGTTTTAAGTTCTTAAAGATGAGACCTATATAATGTTTTAAGTATCTAAAGATGAGAGTTATATAACGTTTTAAGTACCTAAAGATGAGACCTATATAATGTTTTAAGTACCTAATGATGAGAGTTATATAATGTTTTAAGTTACCATACATAAGAGCTATATAATGGTTTAAGTTCTTAAAGATGAGACCTATATAATGTTTTAAGTACCTAGACATGAGAGCTCTATAATGTTTTAATTTCCTAAAGTTGAGAGCTATATAATGTTTTAAGTTCCTAAAGATGAGAGCTATATAATGTTTTAAGTTCTTGAAGATGAGTGCTAAATAATGTTTTAAGTACCTTGACATGAGAGCTATATAATGTTTTAAGTTATTAAAGGTGAGAGCTATATAATGTTTTAAATTCCTAGACATGACAGCTATATAATGTTTTAAGTTCCTAGAGATGAGAGCTATATGATGTTTTAAGGTAATGTCTAAAAGAGATTGATATATAAAATTAACAAAGAGTACACTTTAATCATTAGAAATGGATATTATGCTTTTGTTCAACTATTATAATATTAGAACACATTTAAATAGTTTATTCTAAAACGGGCATTATTTCCCGAACAACCTAATACTATTTTCTAATGTATACACAGTGTGCGTCACGTATTTGAGAACGAAATTCTGAAGGAGACTGATATGAAATTAACAAATTGGATTCTTTAATGATTAGTAATGAGTGATATATTTTTATGCAAGAATTATTATATGTTAGAAAAATATTTATTCTGAAACCGGCCATTATTTTCCGAACAACCTAATACTATAATAATATATAAGAACAAAACTGAAATGCTTTATTCTAAAACCGGACATTATTTTTCGAACAACCTAATATTAAATAATATATTAGAACACAATTTAAAGGTTTATTCTAAAATCGGACATTATTTCCTGGACAACCTAATACTATAATAATATATAAGAACAAAATTGAAATGCTTTATTCTAAAACCAGCCATTATTTTCCGAACAACCTAATTTTAAATAATATATTAGAACACAATTTAAAGGTTTATTCTAAAACTGGACATTATTTCTCGAATAACCTAATAGATTAAATATTATGCCATCTAATTTTCCAGATTAAGCAGGCGGGAAAAAACCTAGAAATCAGTTTCTTGTTCTTCTTTCTCGGATGTTTATGCCATGGATTTTACTAATGAACAACAAAATTCACCATCAAGATGGCTCCATCTTTTTCGAATAGGGGTTGACAGCTAAGCTTTGTCACATGGAATTATTATCATAGACTAGGGCTTTCCAAACGATGCGGCGTGTCTCATTGGTGCGCCGGAAGAGGATAGCAGGTGAGGCGAAACGATTGAAAGACAATCAAGGATTTCGAAACAGTTCCAAAAAATTAAAAAAAAAATGAATATGATTTCAAAATTTAAAATATTATTATGGATTACTTGTAATTGCAAGTGTGAGTCACAGTATAAATAGTTATAAATAATTATTGACTGATTTTATCATTGTGATATTTTTACATTATATCAAGTATTAAGAATATAGTACCTAGAGTCTGTAAATTGGAGGAGAGAGTTATCAATGATAATGTTCTTACATTGGATCTGCGGTTATCTCCCTTTAACATTTTCTGCTTTTTTTTAATTTTTAAATGTCTTTTTTATCGCATGAATTTTGAGGAAATTTTCTGTCCGAAAATGTGGCCCAGAGAAAAAACAAAGGTTGGGAACCTCTGTCGTCGACTATTCGTTTTAAATTTCCGGTATAACTTTTCCATCTTTGTTATTGCTTTGATGACGCTCTGCTTGAAAAAAACAAAAACAAAACAAACACCTTCAGCATTGTAACACTGATGCTTTAATATAATATTTGGCTGCTCGTATTCCAATCACCCACGTCTGCTTGGGTGGCTGGCCAATCCCTGTTGCAGATGTCTGCTCAGGCACATTTATTTATTTTTTTTAACACCCGGAACACCAACCCGCCATTTGTGCTGCAACTATGTTGACCGGACCGTAGTTACAGGTTTGCGGAGGGAAGGCATAGCCTGTGATGATGAACAGTTTAAACACGGCCATTTCGCTCAAAATCTCGGTCACGATGACTTGTGACTTCGTGCCAGCACAACCATCGACGGCGTACGGGCGCTTTCATCTATCCAATTTCACTCACAAGGCTTGGATCAACTCGTGGTATGGATGTCACGCACTTTCCGATAGTGCCACATGACGGGATCGTCTCTCAGGGCGGAGAAGTCACCTCCTAGGCAAATCGACCCTGGTGAGATACGGAGCCAGGGTCTCGTGGTTGGAATGTTAACATTCTAACCAGCTGGCCCTTCAACAACATTGCAAAGATACATTAACCGCCTTAAAAAATGACAGGCTTAAGGCCATATCACGTTGAAACAACGGTTCCTGTATGATCACCGAAGTTAAGCAACGTCGAGGGTTGTCAGAACCTAGATGGGTGACCGGTGGTGTAAGCTAGGAATTGCAGGCGTTGTAATGTATAATGTCTGGGAAATTGTTAATTGGGAGATCCGAGTTCCAATTCCAGTTGGGTTTGTTATATTCACTTTCGCACAAATACCCTTGAGAAAGGGGGGTAGGAATTTATCACTCCCCCCCCAGATAACACTTCTTAATATTTCTTCTGTTCTTGTTCCATCCTTCTTTTTTACTTTTTTCCATCCTGAAAGTTCTTCTTCTTCTTCTTCTTCTTCTTCTTATTATTATTATTATTATTATTATTATTATCGAAGGTTCTCTTGTTATTTTCCTGCTACATTCTCCTGGTTCTTCATCTTCTTCTTCATATTATTATTATTATTATTATTATTTTATCATCAGAACTTATTTTCTTTTCTTATTTTCCTGCTATAACACATTTTATTAGTTCACCTTTCTTCTTCTTCTTCTTCTTCTTCTTCTTCTTCTTCTTATTATTATTATTATTATTATTATTATTATTATTATCTTTTTCCTGTTATATCATATATTCTCCTGGTTCTTCTTCATTTATTATTATTATTGTTATTGGAACTTCTTCTTCTTCTTCTTCTTCTTCTTCTTATTATTATTATTATTATTATTATTATTATTATTATCAGGGGTTTTTCCTGTTATATCATATATTCTCCTGGTTCTTCTTCATATTATTATTATTATTGTTATTGGAACTTCTTCTTCTTCTTCTTCTTCTTCTTCTTCTTCTTCTTCTTCTTCTTTCTTCTTCTTCTTCTTCTTCTTCTTCTTCTTCTTCTTCTTCTTCTTCTTCTTTCGATACTTCTGCGTTTGATGCTTCTTATATTTCTTCCTTTTTACTTCTTGTATAACATCAGCTAAAATTGTTTTTCTTTCTCCCTCCACTCTCCTTCTCACTTCTTTCTTTCGATCGCTTTTATTGTTTTTTATTTTTCTTCTTTCTTTCATTCTACTCCTCCCAATGTTGATTCTTCTTTTCTTCCTTCTTCTTATACTACTATTATCTTTTTTCTTCTTCTTCTTTTCTTCTTCTTCTTCTTCTTCTTCTTCTTCTTCTTCTTTCTTCTTTCTTCTTCTTCTTCTTCTTCTTCTTCTTCTTCGAAGTTACTTCGTTTTCCTTCTATCCTTCTTTTCTACTCTTTTTTTTTTCTCCGAACCCTTTTGGTGCACTTTTTCCCAATCCTTCATTTCCTGTGGACATTTATTCTTCTTCCTTCTAACCTTCTTCTTTTGATATTTCCTTCTACACATTTTTTCTTTTGATACTCCTTCACCGATCTTTTTTAACTACTATTTCTTCAATCTTATTATTATTCTTCTTCTTATCTTTACTTTTTTTCCTTCTTCCTTTCATTTATCTTTTCTCTTTTTTTACTTGATATGTTACTTTCATTTTAGCTGCAATGTCTTAAATTCTTTTCATTTTGTTTTTTTTTCTTATCTACATTTTTCTTTTCTTTTTCCTTCTATATTTAATTCTTTTGCATATTATCTCATTCCTAGTTTATTTCTATTTCATTCTTTATTCTTCATCCTTTTTCTTCTTCTTCTTATCTTCCTACGCGTTTCTTCTTCGCATCCTTCCTTCTTTTTTGTCCTTACTACATATTCTTCTCTTTCATATCTGCTGCTATTCTTTTTCATCAACGTGAATTCTGGATTTACTCTCCTCATTTTTCTTTTGTTTTCATTGACTTAATCGTTTGACAGTGTCTTCTTTTGTCTTTCCCAATAGCCTCGTTATCATTTCTTTCTCAACGGCCTCGTTTTCATTTCCTTCCCAATAGCCTCGTTTTCATTTCTTTATTTAATCACCTTCTACGTCAATTTACGCACTTCATTTCTGTGTTCGCCTACCTTTTTCATTCTATTAAGCGTTGATTTTTTTTCTCTTTCTTCTTCTCATCATTGTCTAACTTGTCCTCCCACTCTTTTTTCTTCTTTCTTTCTTTTCGGTCACATCTTTTTTCACCTTTCCCCACTTCGACTTCCTCTACACATTTTACGTCGCCCACTCTCACCGCCACGTCGGCATCACGGGGATGGTTGGAG